CGTGAAATGCCTCACTTTTGTGAGTTAGAAACAAGGTCCATGTAAACCTAGAGTAGTCATCGACAATCACAAACGCAAAGTAATTACCACCAAAACTTTTCGTTCTAGAAGGACCAAAGAGATCCATGTGCAAAAGTTGAAGCGGTCTAGACGTTGAAACAACGTTCTTAGACTTAAACGAAGCCCGAACTTGCTTCCCCTTTTGACATGCATCACATATGGTGTCTTTTTCAAACTTATGTTTTGGAATGCCGATTACTAAGTCTTGTGAAACCAATTTGTTCAAAAGGTTCATGTTCAAATGAGCTACCCTTCGGTGCCATAACCAAGTGTCTTCCTCTTTACTCATGAGGCACTTAGCAAAGCCGGAAGGAGATTTGTCTAAGTTAACCATATATATGTTATCGATTCTATCACCACGTAGAATGACCTTATTGTCACTAAGGCGTTCTACCGTAGAAGGTCACACGGTTTCCCTTGTCACATAATTGACTTATGCTCAAGAGATTGTGTTTAAGACCTTAACAAGCAAGACATTATCTATAGAGGAGTCTTCAGACTTACCTACTGAACCGATGCCGATAATTTTTCCCTTGCTATTATCTCCAAAGACTACGTTTCCTCCTTTAGCGGGTTTGATTTGTAGGAACTTGGATGCATCTCCAGTCATGTGCTTGGAGCATCCGCTACCAAGGTACCAAAGTACACTTGACGCCTTCAAGCACACCTACAAAAATGATTTAATAAGATTTAGGTACCCAAGTCTTTTTGGGTCCTTGAGTGTTAGGTGAAAAGTGGTAGTGTGATTCATTTTGTGCCCAATGCCTATGCCTAGTAAAGCAAACAGGAGCTATATGTCCTACCCTATTGAAATAGTGACAAACTAAATTTGGGTTGTGCATCCTCCTAGGTTGATAATAGTTTCTAGGGGGCCTAACCATATTCATCCTATTTTGAGAAAATATTGGTTTTTGAAAATTCTCTCTTCTAGGTGTCCTAGCATTATTTTGTCTATTTGAAAAATTATTTTTATGCACAAATTCATTTTGATAGTTTTTCCTAGGTTGTCTAATATGCACATTTTCGTTCCTAGGTTTTTGTCTAGGTTGTCTAGTGTCTTTAGGTTGACTAGATTTTCTATTATCCTGATTTTTAACTTTCTTACGTTGAGCCTTAGGAGGTTGTCTAGGTGTTTGCTCAACGTTTTTATCCTTAGATTTATTTTTATCAAAACCTAATCCTTCCTTAGAAAAATGCATAGTGTCTAAGAGTAAATTAATATCTTTGTGTGGTGTATTAAACTTCTTAACCGTACTCTCAAGTCTTGCAACCTTTTCTTTTAAAGCTTTGCAAGATTCACATTCACTTGAAGAGCTTTCCGGTTTGTGAGCGCTTCTTTTGCCATAAAATTTATTTTCTTGTTTCAACTTTTCATTATCTTTTTCCAATTTTTCAAAATCATTTTCAAGAGTTGAAAGACGTTTCTTTAATGATTTGTTGGTTTTAGAAGCGCTAACAAATTCATCATAAAGCTCTCGAAGAGCTTCTTGCATCTCTTCAAAAGTGTAAGAGTCGGAGGAAGTGGTACATACCTCTTGTATTTCGTCGGCGTGGTCTTCGTGTGCCATGAGACAGAGGTTGGCGGCTTCTTCCTCTTCTTGGTCAGTTGACTCGTCGCCGGAGTCGCCACCCCAAGAGATATAAGCACGTTGCTTTTTGAAGCCAGGTTTGTCCTTGCCGCTTTTGCCTTTTGGACACCTCGGCTTGATGTGGCCTATCTCGCCACAGCCATAGCACTTCGGGGGACCGTCGTGCTTTCTTCCTTTTCGTTCAAATTCCTTCTTCATGAATT